ATATATATATATATATATATATATATATATATATATATCCATATATACATAAATACCTAAAAATAATTGGATTAGTTGAAACGATCAGTAATTAAAAAAAAACAATGAAAAATTACCATTAAGAGTTGTTACATGTTGCCTTTTTTCCACATATGCCAAATTTTTTTCATAGTACAGTGAATGCATCAGAAATTACTAAAAAAAGGATATTAATAAGCAAAAACAAATGTTTGAAAAAGAAAATTTTAGAAAGGAAAATGGAATCCATGATAAATTTAAAAAAGAATTATTAGACACATCTAATAGATTTGTAAAGTATATTAGATGTGTCACATGATTCCTTTTTAAATCTATAAAAGTAAAAATTTGAAGCCTCGTATAATATGCAAAACAACTGTTGAAAGCAAAAAAAATTAAAAATAACAGAAAAAGTTTAGTATACCAAACTAAATTAATCAAGCAACAAAAAAAAAACATTCTATATCAAAACTTGCATCAGATTTGGTCGGTTTTTTTTTAAACAACACTGCGTTAGAGAAGAAAATTCTCTTAAGGTAGTTTTGGAACGTTTGCAAGTCATACAATTTGATCAATTAAACCCTTAACGAACCAATACCTAGTTAAGTATGTTAACAAACTTGTATAAGTACGGTCATTTCTTTTATTAATTGATTTTGAAAAAGATGATATTATTTTTTTTAGCGAGGATTGTGAGGTAATTTACTTAATTGAAACTTATAATTATATTGTAGTATGTATTTATCTTATTTTTTTTTAATATTATGGTTAAATAATGCATTTGAGTACAGTGGTTTTTATCTTTATAAATGGTATGAACCGTACCTTATATGTTTATATGTACCAATTTCGTTTAATATAAAGATACTTTTATAATATATACTATTATTTTTATCTCTAAGCTTAACTGCACTTTTTATGTTTTTTCAAAAAAAGTAAAGAATCCAGATATAGGCGGCTAACTTTAGGCTGAGTTACTTTTACTTTTACATGAACTACGTATCAAGTAAAGAAAGAATCTAGAAATGGAGGGCTAACCTTAGGAAATATATATATATATATATATATATATATATATATATATATATATATATATATATATATATATATATATATATATATATATATATATATATATATATATATATCCATATATACATAAATACATACATAAATACCTAAAAATAATTGGATTAGTTGAGACGATCAGTAATTAAAAAAAAACAATGAAAAATTACCATTAAGAGTTGTTACATGTTGCCTTTTTTCCTCATATGCCAAATTTTTTTCATAGTACAGTGAATGCATCAGAAATTACTAAAAAAAGGATATTAATAAGCAAAAAAAAACGTTTGAAAAAGAAAATTTTAGAAAGGAAAATGGAATCCATGATAAATTTAAAAAAGAATTATTAGACACATCTAATAGATTTGTAAAGTATATTAGATGTGTCACAACTTTAATTAGATGTGTCACAACTTTAATTCAGATAAAACTCAATTTTATTCGGCCAATCGTTATCGTAATAATTTAGATCTTCCTATATTTATGAATGGTAATGTACTAGATGAGTCATCTACCATTCATCTTCTAGGATTAACTCTTACTTCTGATCTTTCTTTTAAACCGTATATCAAATCCATTGCAAAATTAGCATCTGCTAAGGTTGCATCTCTTTATCGAGCTCGACACTTTCTTACTCCAGATTCTATTCTCTATCTCTATAAATTTCAAATCCGTCCCTGTATGGAATACTGTTGCCACATCTGGGGCGGATCTTCTAATGATGCTCTTTCTCTTTTAGACAAGGTGCAAAAACGAATTGTAAACATAGTTGGACCTGCTCTGGCAGTCAATCTCCAACCTTTGTCACATCGTCGTAATGTTGCTTCTCTTTCTCTTTTCTACAAATACTATAATGGGCACTGCTCTAAAGAGCTAGCGTCCCTTGTGCCATCTACTAAAATTCATTCTCGTGTTACTCGCCATTCAATTAAGTCTCATCCTTTTTCTGTGACTGTTCCTAAGTGCTTCAAAAACTCTTATTCTTCTAGTTTTTTTCCTCGAACATCAGTTCTTTGGAATTCGCATCCTTCATCTTGCTTTCCTGATTCATATAATTTGCAATCTTTTAAGTCATCAGTCAATCGTTATCTTGCTCTACAGATTTAGTCTTTTCTCTTCCAGTAACTTCCAACTCCTATAGTGGTTGCTTGCAGCCTTGTTGGAAGTGAAGATGTTTAAAAAAAAAAAAAAAAAAAAACATGATTCCTTTTTAAATCTATAAAAGTAAAAATTTGAAGCCTCGTATAATATGCAAAACAACTGTTGAAAGCAAAAAAAATTAAAAATAACAGAAAAAGTTTAGTATACCAAACTAAATTAATCAAGCAACAAAAAAAAACATTCTATATCAAAACTTGCATCAGATTTGGTCGGTTTTTTTTTAAACAACACTGCGTTAGAGAAGAAAATTCTCTTAAGGTAGTTTTGGAACGTTTGCAAGTCATACAATTTGATCAATTAAACCCTTAACGAACCAATACCTAGTTAAGTATGTTAACAAACTTGTAAAAGTATGGTCATTTCTTTTATTAATTGATTTTGAAAAAGATGATATTATTTTTTTTAGCGAGGATTGTGAGGTAATTTACTTAATTGAAACTTATAATTATATTGTAGTATGTATTTATCTTATTTTTTTTTAATATTATGGTTAAATAATGCATTTGAGTGCAGTGGTTTTTATCTTTATAAATGGTATGAACCGTACCTTATATGTTTATATGTACCAATTTCGTTTAATATAAAGATACTTTTATAATATATACTATTATTTTTATCTCTAAGCTTAACTGCACTTTTTATGTTTTTTCAAAAAAAGTAAAGAATCCAGATATAGGCGGCTAACTTTAGGCTGAGTTACTTTTACTTTTACATGAACTACGTACCAAGTAAAGAAAGAATCTAGAAATGGAGGGCTAACCTTAGGAAGCGTGTACTGTTAGAAAAGGGCAGTCAAATTTTTTTAAATTATAATAAAAACTTAGAGAAACATTCAAAGCTGCCTGTTTTCCTATTTTTTTTTAACAGTAGGTTACTCTTATTTTAAGGTGGCCTACTCTCAGGTTTGAATTGCAGTTCGGTAATAAAAACTTTTTTCAGTAAATTTACCAATATAATGGCCGTGATTTTGAATGAATTTTGAAAATTTAAGTTCCTGTGTTCAAATAATTTGCATTACACAGACATATTTGGATACCTTAATAGTGTGATATTTCTAAGATAAAATGGTTTAAGAAATATTTGAAAACATATTCATATAAGTATTCTGTTCACTAAACCTGTTAAGTTAGGTACAAAATCGAATAAAACAAAGCACAATCAAATAAACTAATTCAATGAGTCTTTCATTTATTGTTTCCAAAAATGTTCAAAATCCTATAATTATAAATTAAAGTTATAAAATAAAACCCTAACCCTATAAAAATTCTAAACAACAGACTCTATTTGGTTAAAATTCTTTTTTAATCTAAGATAATACTGGAGTTATTATCAAATTGTTGAATAACATTTTTTTTATTAGTGTAAAGATAAATTTTAGATTTATTTTTATTTTGTATGTATTTCGACGTTTTCGGAAAAAAAAAACAATGATTAAAAATATTCTTTCAAATGATATTTTGTCTTTTCCAATTTTAAAAATAAAGTAAACACGTGGTCAATTACATATATTTACTGTTAAAGTATTTAATTATTCATTCAAATATAGCAATGTTATGATATTTAATACATTAATTATTTGCATTATTTTTATTAGTTTAAAAATATTTTGTAGCTGATTAAACTCAGTGCATGACATGTGAGTATACAACTCAGGATGAAGGAATAAAGAAGAAAGAAAAGGATGGCAATGAGAAAGAGTATGGTCAAGTTGGAATTGATTTACCGGTGTTTCATGATAATACAAATTCAAAGCGCTTTGGAAATAATAATTCACACCAAAAGCGAAAAACAGATTAAAAGATTGCGATGATTGCGACGATTCAACATTGAAATCACAGAAAGCTTTCAAAACAAAAAATCATAAATGGTATTTATTTAATCATTTATTCATTTTAAATAAAAGTTTTGTTAAACTCACACGTGGCGTTATTCGTTATATAGTAGTGGTAAATATAAGTTGTAAAAATGTTAAAAGTTAGGGAAAAGTTAGGTAATTTTTTTATGTCAATAAAAATTTATTGAAATAATATATTTTCAAAACAAACAAAAGATAACTCTGGTTTGTTCTGAAAATATATTATTAACATATTTTTTCACAATTTCTTCAAAAAAACTTAGTAGCATTATACAAAGGTAAAAAAGTCATGAAGTTTACAATTCCTACACTTATGGTATTGCACATTTGTAGTTCTGAAAACTAAACCTATGTTCAGAATTTTCTGCAATGATTTTAAAACTGCTAAAATTTTTTGATTTTAGCGAAAATAATTTCATCTAATGAAAAAATTTAAACTCTATATTCATGTTTAACATATTCTATATACAAATACAAGTAAGTTTTCGTTATTTAGTTATTTAAAAGTTTTAATTATCAATTAAATTAGAAAAGTGTTTTATTTTATATTACTTTAAGTTTATTTATTAGGGATTTAAATTTATTTATTGTGAGTTTCATTTTATTTATAGTTGATAAAATTAAATAAAAGGATTTCAATTTATTTAGTATTAGAAGTTTAGGTTTTTTAAATTCAAATTTAATACTAAATAAATTGAGAATATATGTATGAACTAAACAATAATATGTATGATCTGTGTCAAAATGTTTTGAATTTTATATTATAATTTTTAATGATGAATAGCAAAATTACATAAGTTTTATTTTTTTAGGTTTTTAAAAAAAAATTGTTAAATAGAGCGATATATCCAATTATTTATTTCAACCAATAACTTTAATTTCTCAACAAACTTCAATATCTTTATTTGACATATATTGTATAAAATCAAAAGAGGAGTGTTTTATGTTTGAAGAAAATATGAAATTGGATTTATTCCTATAAGAAATAGTAAGATTATTATATCGATACTATTTAATATGTTGGTACATAAGTGTGTGTGTGTGTTTGTGTGTGTGTGTGTGTGTGTGTGTTTATGTACTAAATCTGCTAGTTTAATGTGACTTTTAATTCTTAGATAACAACTAAAGCCTATGGGAAAGTTTGATTGCAAAAATATGATCAAGAACTTAATCAAGCGATTTTCACCGGGTTATTTTGTGCATGAAATGAACATAAATGGTACCGGAAGCTAAAACGAGTTAGCTTTTAGCGGAAGCGAGACTTGCAACAAGGTGACGGAAAACAAACTTTTATCATGTTGTTTAGGGTCTCCTTAGAGATGCCCCTGCACGAGCAATAAAGATAGCAGTCGTATTAAAAATAATATTGATGTTGTATGTTTTATTGCAGATATATAGTTTCTTTTACATTATGGTTGTTAATTATCTTAAACGTAAAAAATATATAATATGATTTTTAATACAATTTAAGTCTGTTTTATTAGTCGATTTGGTATGTAATACTACAAATGACGAGAGAACGTCGATTAGACGTCTCGGCAAGACGTCTTAAAGGTGTTAACAAATAAACGTCTTAAGACGTTTTTTAGACTCTCAAGCGAGTTTTCAATTTGACGTCTATGTCACATCTAATAATAAACTTCATGCAGACTTCTGTAGCAAAACGTCTTACAGACGCCTATACAAGACGTACGGTAAACGTTTTAAGGCTTACTTAAGTTACCGTCAGACGTTTTATAGGCGTCTTTGTACTGGCTGGAAGAAGTTTGATAAAAAGAATAAAAAAGAAAGATAAAAAGAAGTGCATGATAAAAGAAAATTACCACTAAAAACTAATTTGCCTGTTGCTAATGCTTTTTCTAGAGCATTGTTAAAAATAGTTGAATCTGTACGAAAAGACATTGAATGCAAAAACAGTTTGCTATTACACAAAATAACAAAAGCATAATTGCTATCGGTGCAAACAAATCTTGATTGCCTCAAATAATTACGTTTTAAACTATTAGCTAATGAGCAAATTTAAATAATTAAAGTTTACTAAGTTAAAACCATATTTTAACAGTTGGCAAAGTAAACATGTGATAATTGGTAGAGCAGATGAGTAGAACTAAAGAAAAAAAATAGCTAAATTTGCTATAAGATGCATATTATACCTATTGAGTTTTTGCATAGCCTGATTTCTTTTATTATGAATAATATTCATCTCCCTTCACCAAGTCTTATCTCTTTCATTTTGACGACAATTTATCTCAGCTTGCCTAACCTGGTTTTTTTTATTTCGAGTAAGCCTAATAATTTCACTTCTTAAATTAACAGACTTTATGAAGCATCAAAGAAGTGTGTAAAAATGATGCTTAAAATGAAAAAAATTGTTTAAAAAACTAAAATCATGAGATTTTGATGTTTTTTGATTACATGTAAAAATCGTTATTTTTGTTGTTTGATACAGGTTAATCCCAAAATATTAGCACGAGTTAGAATTACTTCACCAAATTTATAATTTCAATATTATGCAGAATATAATCACATATCAGAAAAAAATAGACTACATTTCGCGAGGTTAGAATTATTTTGTTTTATCTCCACAAATCAAAAAAATTGAGTTAGATTAATTTTTTTGCTTTTCATAGATAAAATATTTATTTTTTACAAAAAAACCAGTAAAAAAAAAATTAACATACTATACCTGACATTGCATTTTGTTCTATCTCCTTAATCCTGTTTATAAATTAAAATTATAATGTGTTATCTCCATTTTATCCAATCAAAAGTTATTTACGTCAAAATGGCAGCTGCGGAAGTTTTTATTACAGAAAAACAACAACAAAATTTTGAAGATAAAATATGTTATTGTTTACATATATGTATATATATATATATATATATATATATATATATATATATATATATATATATATATATACATATATATGTATATATATATATATATATATATATATGTATACTTTTTTTGTTTTTGTTTCAGAAACTGATCTGACTGTTCTTGGCTATCATAATGATACACCTGAAATAATAACAGCTCGTCGTCTGCCCCCACATGGGGGAAAAACTAGGAAACGAAAGTCAGCACCTAAAACTTGGGCACAGAATAAGAGAAAGCAGCTAAGACAATCTGGTCAGCCGTATAAAAATAGAAAGGGAGAAAATGTTCCATGCAAGTCTGTAACCAAAAAGAAAGACTGTCTAAATTCTTGTGAATTCAGATGCGCACAAAATATAAGTGATGAAGAAAGAATACGTATATTTTCTGATTTTTGATCCATAGACAACATGCAAAAGAGACATTTCTACAGTCGAACCACTGAACGACTTCAGAAGAAACGTCATCGAACCATCAATGAAAATTCGCGAAAAGCGTATTCATTTTATTATAGCTTTTTTGTTGGTGATTTGCAAACTCGAGTTTGTAAAGAATTTTACCTCACAACTTTAAATATAAGTAGTAGAAGAATTTATTATCACCATGAAATAAAAAATTATACTACTGGAAGCCCAGCCCTTTCAAAATGGGGGAAACACACCGAAAAGGTTATAGATCAATCATCAAAACAGAGCGTTACAGATCATATCAATGCAATTACACGTGTTCCATCACACTACTGTCGTCAAAGAACAGAAAAAGAATATTTTGAAGCTTTTTTAAATTCTAATAAGATAAATGAACTTTACTTATCCTATTGTGAAGAAAAGAATATTGCCCCTGTTAAGAAGCATTTGTATAGATTCATATTTGATCATCACTTTAACATTGAATTTCAGAAGCCAAAAACTGATTTATGTGATACATGCTATGAATACCGCAATCTAGTAAATCCAACTGAGGAACAAACGCAAAAGTTTACCAAACACATTATTTCTAAGAATGAAACTAAAGCGGAACGAGATAAAGACCGAAAAATTATAGATAAAAATGTGGCTGTAGTATGTATTGACCTTGAAAATGTAATAAGTTTACCAAAATCAAATGTGGGAGCATTTTTTTACAAACGAAAACTTTCAGCTTATAATTTAACTTGGCATTGCTCCATAAATAAAAAAGGTTATTGTATGCTTTGGCATGAAGGTGTTTTGGGTCGTGCAGGCAATGACCTTGCAAATAGTGTAACATGCTTGCTAGAAAAGATAATTGCAGACCACTCTGATGTTAATAAACTCACACTATGGTTCGATTCCTGTGTGCCTCAAAACAGAAATAGTCACATGTCCATTGCCTTGCGTCAGTTTTTGATATGTTACCTAAAAATTAAAGTAATTGAGCAAAAGTTTTGTGAACCAGGACATTCTAGTTTACAAGAGGTTGACAATATCCACAGTCAAATTGACAGAGCACTTATTCTTCTTGAAATATTTAATCCTTTAGGTTTAACCAGAGCAATTTCTGCTGTTCAAAGAAGAAATTATTTTTTTGTCTACCAAATGAAAAGATTGGATTTCAAACATTTTTCAGCTATTGCAAGCTATTTTAATTTTAAGCTTGTTCCCTATAGCCAGATAAAGCATCTGGTTTACAGAGCAGAGTTTTCAGATCATGTATATTACAGAAAGTCGTTTTCAGATGTTTGTTCAGAAGCACGAATTAGGCGTCTTCCTAACAATCCACGCTCTTTATCATCTGTGATAACAAGACCTCTGACAGTTGTACCAATGGCTTCTGCCTTAAATCAGTGTGCTCAAATGTCAAGTGATAAAGCCAAGGACCTTAAAAGTATGTTCAAGTATATGTCTGCTGTAGACGTTGCATTTTATAAAAGTATTTTAAAATAATTTATTTTATTGTCAAAATATTTGTATTATATGTTATGTTGTTAAATGGACTTCTTTCTGAAATGTTATATTTTTATGGATTAACCAGATATGCTTGATTTGCCTAATTTGAGATATCATTTTACTGTGCAATGTACTTTAGATGTTATGTTATTGGAATTTATAACTTAAGTTTTATTTCATTGTAAAGATCTTAAGATAATATACTATTTATCTTCTTTGTTTTGACAAAATAACGTATTCATGTAGTTTGTTCAGTTGTGTAAAATAATTTTTTTTTTCAAATAAAGCAAATATGTACCTTAGAGTACTTTTACTGCCAAAATATAAATTCATCTTGCAACAATATATTAATTTGTAATATGTTTTTTTACACAAAATGGAGATAGAACAAAATAATACTGTATTTTACAAAAAAAGTGTGGATTACATTTTTCTATCTCCAAATCAAGGTGTAGTAAATAAGACACCTGCAATTTAAATATTTTAAAACAAATTCTTTTAAACTGTGGTAGCCTATATGGGAAATTGATAAAAATCGGTTTTGTTTGCGTTTTTTATGTTATTTGGTCTGCAGGTTCATTTAAAACTTTGAATTTAATTTTCTCAATTCGGAAAAACATGGAGATAGAACAAAATAATTCTAACCTCGCGATTTAAAGGCCGATACCTTTGTAACTAAAAGGCAAAATTATCAAAGTCACCCCATTATCAATGTCCCGTTTTACTGTAACGAATAAACAAGTTTGTTTTATACCAGGCTTTAATTCAACTATTTAATTTAATAACTTTTTGGTACAGGTGTCAAATTTTGCCCAAATCCCACAAAAATTGTGACATCAGCTTTCAAAAATTATAATTTTAAACGCATTTTATTTTCTATAATTTGTACACATCAAGCTATGTTTGTTAAAATTTCATAAAGGTTAGGCATTTTTATAATAATAGTAGGGTCTTTCTTTTTGTTTTTTGGTCTTTTCTTTTTTTCCAGAAATTTTCAACAAAGTGAGGTCTAAAATTTTTTTATAACTATTTTTGCTTAAAAAAGAATTTGGTGGATTTTAAATATGTTAAAGTAGATAAAATAACGTTTCGAATGATACCAAATTTGTTTTTAATTTTGTCCAGATCTGACCCTAATTTGACTAGACTATAAACATAAAAATTGAATTTTATGGACGAAATAAAAATAAATAACAAATATTTATTTAAAAAATATAACTTTTTTCTTTTTTTCTATCACAGTTGAATACAGTATTTATACATAGTTGTATACAGCACACATTTAGTTGTATACAGTATACATAGCTGTATACAGTATACATTATTTAAGTTAAGCAGAAAACAGTTCAATTTAACAGAAAATTTAAAGAATGACTAAAAAAGGTAAAATTAAGATTAACACCATATTTTCTAATTGCAAAAGTAGTTTTGTTTTTATGACCACTTTCTCTAGCATTTGTTGAATAGTGAAAAATATGTAGCGGAGACCGGGGCTAGTTGCAACAGGGGTAAGTTGCAACAATGCGTTTTAAGGAACAGCTTTCATACAATATTCCTAAATTTTTTTTATATTATGTAACTGTAATTGTAACAAGTCAGCTATAAAAAATTACAGTATT